AACACAGGGCCGGAGGAGTCCCTCCTCGGCCCGGCGTCGTTTTATGGAAGAGACGCACCCCCTGCGTCTGCCCCTCTTTCTTCTGAGAAGATTACCTGCTGGTTGCGGCAGCTAAATGCGACAGAGGTCTCGGGGATAACGAAGCTCCTGCCTGTAAAAATAGGTAACTGAGGAGAAAGGCCCTTCAAAACCTAGATTTCTTCTGGGCCACAACCAGGGGAAACGCCTCACTGGGGCCACCGTTAACTACAAGGCATTGACTGAAAGGAGAGCTGAATAATAAACTTCTCCCCCCGCCCTTTATTACAAAAAGAATGCAAAACAGGGCTATCCTCCTATCACTAGTACTGCAAACCAAACCAGTGGGAGCTTTCAGTTTGAACACGCCATCGCTGCTGTCTGGAGAGGGACACACCTCTCAACAGACAAACATGCCAAGCGGCAAAACGTCACTGGCACTGGACCTCAGATCAAGTAACACAAAAAGCGTGTTGGTGCGGCATGGTGACAGCGAAACAAGGTATTGCCACAAACGAAAGAGACAACTCGGAATAAACCAACCTTGGATTTGCCGCTCTTCAAGAAGCCATCTGACTGATCAAAAGAGTCACAATTGTTGCCAGTACGGTGTGATGGTTGTGTTTGAATCTGCCATCACGAAGGCAGCCTCACACTGAGCTGCGTCATCTGTCTGCGTTACCCTTTGAAGGCATTTTGGTACAATGGAGCACCGCTCTGCGAAGGCAGACCTGCTAAATAACCAGGTACATTGCCGCAAACTACAGCCCCTGTATTAATCCCGTTTTCAGTGGGAATGATTCACTTCCTACTGATAACTGTTACGTGGTGGTAACCAATGATGGTCTTTTCACAAAAAAAACAAAACTCTGATTTCTTTGAAGGCTATCCATAAGACATAAAGCAGTTAGCACGTTAATTACAAGCTAAGTTTATTGAAAACAAGGTAAAAATCACTGCACTTGACGACACAGCGCGAGAGGTACGTTTTTCCGTGGACATACGATACTGAGACTCTAGCCAGTAGAGCAATTACACAGCTCCCCCTGCCCCACAGGCAAGCCCATTTCTTCTCTTAAATACAAGCCCTGTTTTAAATGCTAGCTGTAGCCACTGATAATAAAGCAGCTTGCATCTGAAACAGCATGTTAGAAATCACTTATTAAGCACCAGCTTAATAGTATTTGCTTACACAAATCTTTTTGCTCTCCCTCCCTCTATCCCTCATTGACTGTTTTGTGGGTTTGTTTTTTGTTTTTTTTTCTTCATAAGCACTTAATTCCTCCTTGGTACAAAATGTATCCAAAGCAAAGGCAAAATACTTTATACAACTTGCTGTGGAAATGTTTAATGTTGTTGCTACTTTGCCTCTTCATTGCCCAGGGCCTGACAGACTCTTGTTCATGAACTGTCTCTTCACAAAGCAGATCCACCACTGCAGAAGGAAGTACAAAGTCAGAAAATATGCAAAAGTGGTTTCCATGCGATAAACAAAACAATGACTTCCAAGTATTCAACCTCTGACAAATAACAAACGTTAAGGCTCCAGTTTTGCACACAGTTTTCTACACTGGTTTCTACTGGAATTGAAAACGGGAGGACAGGAATGGACCCAATGAGTTTATAATACAGGACTCTGAATTAAAGTGGGACATTTTACTTTCTATTATTTCTATTTTTTTTTACTGTTTGTTCCAATATATTTATTCCAATATAATTATAAACAAGGGGTGCATCAGAAAGCTATGACTTTGAAACTGAATTAGCCTAAGTAATTTCAGTATTAAATGCAGTCACATTTGCACATGAAACATATGAACAGTCAGGAGGTAATTCATGCATTGATTAGCTATTTTTTTTTAATCTGGATATGAGGCAAAATGGCCTACTTCAAAGAAGCTATCAAATCAGAACCGCCTGGGAAGATAAACAGCATCTCTCGTGCCTGTGAATTTCCATTTGAAAACCTAGCCAACAGCAGATGTGCAATACTTTGAAGAGTTGAACCAGACACCTCTTATTACTGCCCTGCTTTTTAAAGTAACCCAAATTGGCATTCGCTGTCTTACCACATTACAGATTAAATTTATTGATAACTTGCAGCCTCCTATCTCACTAGCCTTGTAAAACCAGGGAAGCTTGTGCCAAAGTTACCCCCGTCTGATCCCTCACCCCATCATCTCGCTTCTTTCTCTCCACACATTTCTGAAAAAACACACTAAGCCTCTCATTAAATCTGTGATGATCGCACTAAACTCTTACCTTACTAGGCTTGTCACTTTGAGGATCAAATACTTTTTCACAAAGGCGAAGACCAGTTTCTTGCCTCAGCTGCTGCAGGTAGGCCCTCATCACCTCTGAAACACAGCACAGGAAAAGACAGTGTAAACTGAGGCAGCACCAAGCCACACTGAATTTAACAGGGAAGCATCAGAGATCACTGCTTAAAGCAGAAAGTGAGTTTTCACATCTGCAGGTACTCATCGGCCGGCTGAGTTGGTTTGCTCGATTTACAGCCATAGTTGGGATTTTTATGATACTTGTACCAGGAAAAAGGATGATCCAAACTTGTTTTCTTCTCTCATTTACCTTTACTCATTATTGTGGGCTTCCTATTCTGCCAGTGCAGCACTTGGCTTGGGCACCATTACAGGGTTTAGCTAGTGATTATGTTGATGCAAAAGGCAGATTCAGACTCCTCTTAATCCAGGGGAGTCACTGGGCCCCCGAGGTCAGAAAATCCAGCTTCTGCTGCCCTCAGAAGACAGAACTGCAGATTTCGAAGATTCAGTTTTAAAGGTAATTTTTCTAGTTGCAGTCACAAAAAATGCAGCTGGTAAAGTATGAGCCCAAGGAAGCCTTCAGAGGTCCTGGATTAGCCTTACCTTCCTCCTGCTTGTTGGCAGGTTTGGCGTAAATGGCATTAAGCGGAAAGCCAGGCTCCCCGGGGATTGGGAAGTTAGTGATTCCTAGCGTGTACATTTCTTTCTCTCCTTGGCCTTTGGAGTTACACTGGAAGAACCAGGCAAACAATGGATTAATAGTTATAAACACAAGCTGATGGAGCGTTAGACCCAAATATTTTATCAATCTCTAACACATAAAAACTCAGCAAGAACAGCAACACGCCTCTTTGGAGATCCACGGCCTTAGAATATCTGTAGCTCTGACAACTGGCACTGGGGTGAACAGGATTATTTGTGCTACTAGGAGGAGAATATCAGCAAACCCCTTCCCAAGTACAATCCCCAGAACAGACTCAGTTTCCCTCCTGCACAGAAATTCACTTTTCTTACCTTTTGCAGCTTTTTCAAGCACTCAGAAATGTAGAGGGTTACATAGATCAGCGTTCTGTCAGCCTCGTTCTGCAAAACAAGAGCAAGCACAGAGCCCAGCCACTCTTAGATTAAGGGAGACTTTATGGAACTGATAAAAGTTTGAAACAGGAATGAGTTCAAGCCATTTTGGCCTACAATTTCCCCATGAGAAAGGGACTTGCAATTCATGACGTTTACCCAACATTAAAAATTAAGTGGGAGGAAGGGGGATTTTTTGTTATCTAATGGAATTATCTCATTGAACGTAAATTTATATTCACAGCACCAATCCTCCGAAGAACTACTATATGCACAGTATCTGAAAAAATTACCTTAATTTCATAATTTTTGAAGAAAACATTAGCTTTGAAGTAGTAGATGGCTTCATCTATAATATCTGTGTCCTTAGCTAACAAAAAAGAAATACAGAATTAAACAGTGCACCATTATACTACATTTGCTCATAACTTTTACTCACTGAAATACATAAATAAGGATTATTGCAAAGGCAAAACCTTGCTATTTAAAAAAAGCAGAAGACAGCACTATATAACAGAAAACAGTCGTTGCCGTGTGAAACACTGGTGAGCTCAGACCATAATATTTAAGCTTCCTACTCTTAGCAGGAGCTTTAACCCCCGTCTTCTCCTCCCCCTATGATTTCTCACTTCACAAACGGCAGCAATTCAGCAGTTCCCCGCTTTCCTACCAGTTGAGTTTTAACAGCGTAAAAGTCTTCTCAGGACACAAAAATGTTTTTGGAGAAAGCATAACACCACAATCACACACAAATTTCATTATCCTCTTCAAAAAAAGTGGGGGGGAGCAGAACACATAGTGGCAAGCTTACTTGTGACTTTCATCTGCTTTTGCTACCGTCCGAGACTGCTTAAATCCAGAAACATTTCCTTTATATTTCCTTTCTC